CTCTGATGGAACACGGAGCCCCCAGGTTAGCAAGCCAGCGAGTAAGACTCCTCTGATGGAACACGGAGCCCCCAGGTTAGCAAGCCAGCGAGTAAGACTTCTCTGATGGAACACGGAGCCCCCAGGTTAGCAAGCCAGCGAGTAAGACTCCTCTGATGGAATACGGAGCCCCCAGGTTAGCAAGCCAGCGAGTAAGACTCCTCTGATGGAACACGGAGCCCCCAGGTTAGCAAGCCAGCGAGTAAGACTCCTCTGATGGAACACGGAGCCCCCAGGTTAGCAAGCCAGCGAGTAAGACTCCTCTGATGCAAAAACAAAGAGGCAAATCTTTTAACTGTTAACTACCTTTAATTGTGCAAAACGTTCAGCTTGACTGGATAATATGACTACTGAAGTTGTCATTTTAAAGGACAATATTGGTGTCAGTCATTATTACATACGTGATAGAACTGGTTAAACACATTCCAAATATAATTTTTACACAAAGATCGAATTTCATTTCACTGATAATTCCGTTGAAGTTGAAAAGTTGGCTGTCCCTAGATAAGGGATAACGAGAAAAATAGAAAAATCCCGTGCATTCCCCCGTTTTTATTCATTCTGTTCTTAATAAAATCATGGTAATGCACGGACTTTTCTAATTTGTTCGTTATCTTTTATGAACTGACAGCCAATTCTTTTTTTGAATTGTCAGATATCCGCTCACCGTCTCATATAATAACTTTTCATCTTCAACTGAATTATCAGTGCAATGAAATTCGATCGCGTGTCTGTTATCGCTCGTTACTTCAGTCAGTTATATAGAAGGATAACTCGTGTTTGTCATGTTTGTCGTCACTTCCCGTTTCTTCACGTGCTTGTTACACATCTCCAGTAGCAATGATCTCTGTGTTAAAATTATATTTGGGATGTATTTAACCAGTTCTATCACATATTTTATAATGACTGACACCAATATTGTCCTTTAATATTCCCAGTTACGATATTATATTACACTGGACAGAAGCATGTGACGGGGGAAACCACGTCGGAAAATCCCGATATGGGGAAACCACGTCGGAAAATTCCGATGAACTTTCTCTGCCAATGCTTGGATCCAGCAAGCGACCTTCAGGCTAGCGAGCCAGCGTCTTACTCACTTAGCCTCAAAACATGAATATTCACCAAGACCTGGCAACATCCTTTCGTCGATTCTACGTCAAAAAGTCAAAAAGAATGGCTATGCAAAAATGGGAAAGTGGGAGAAAGACTACCAATATTGTCTGCACTAGATTCGTGACCTATGTCTATAATATGTGTTACATGATGTTGAACTTAGAGAACAGTGTTAATAGATCGGCATCACGGAGTTCTTCTAATCAATAATTTAAGTTAAGGATTTAAGATAAGATAACTCTCACATCATGAAACCGGAAATACTATTTCGTCATAAATTCACGTTGTTATTACCTTGTTTAGTCTATTTGGTACCAATTAAAAGCAAATCAAGAAATACTTTAAAAAACGGAATTCTAAATAAAAAGCAATTAAGTGCTCTAGTGTTAGCTACCTAAGCTTATTTCGTCGATTCCTTGTATAAAAAAGAAGGTAATTAATTAATAAAATTGATAAAAATAAAATAAAAATGAAATATGTCTTACTGGGTATACATGCCCCTTTATGGCACCACTGTAATACAAATTATATTTTATATATTACACTTATTTATTATTCTATTAAAATATAAACTATATATTTCAAGTCATATTGCAGAGAGTGGTGATCCATTGTGAAGTCTACCTCACCGGTTCCTATGATGGAATTTGCTCCTTCACTGTCGATAACACTGTCGATACAACTTCTACCTTAGAATGTAAAGCAATTAGTTGCAGTTCGGATTATTTGGGTAGTAATGATCGAATATTTACATGAAGAGTGTAGTCCTTTTTTTAGCAAAGCATTGGAATAAATTACTGGAGATATCCGTGGTACAGGAAATCGGTTGTTTTACGTTTTCCCTGCATTCAATGTTATCATGGAAAAAAAGTAGGTTTTCAAGACTACACTGTTAACATTCAATTTCATAGGATAGAGAACCCTTTAGAATCGAGTTGTTTACTAGGCCTATATATCGGGATAAGCATTTGGTACAGGAAAAACATGCTGGCATGTTGCAACTTTGAATCGTTTGTTTGTACTAAGCAGACGACACATACATTGGATTTCCCCCCTTCTCTATTTGTTGATGCCATAATTAGGCCTAGGGCCGGAATGGGGATAAACGTCACCGTAGACGTCAAACTGGTGTACACAAGGAATATATATACCATAATACATCGTAAATGAAGCATGAAGTGGAGTTGTTTATTCAAAATAATTAGACTGACTCTTATATCTGTTAGATAGTCTGTTCACTAGTTACACCACATTTAGATTCATTTAATTCTCTTTTATATGGTATTCCCCTCCGCCAAATTAATAAATTACAAAAAATGCAAAAATCAGCCGCAAGACTTAAAACTGGAACCCCATACAGAGACTCAATCACACCTATTCTTTTTATACTACACTGGCTCCCTGTTACCTTTAGAATATCGTACAAGATTTAAATGTTTGAACAGCCTTGCACCATCATACATTTTCAAGTTACTTACTCTGTACAAACCAAGTCAAAATTTGTGCTCTACCGAAGATAATTTTCTACTAGTTCACAAAAATGGCAACGTTAAATATTTTGGAGAGAGGGATTTTTAAACTGCAGCCCCTAAACTTTGGAATAAACTTCCACACAATATCCGCTTCATTTCATATTTAGAAAAATTTAAAACTAGTCTCAAAACTCACCTTTTCACAATAGCCTTTAATTGATATCTTATACATGTATATTTATCCATAGTTTATTATCTGTGATATATGTCTATTTCTTGTGTAATTTTTAAGTATTTTGGTAAGTATTTACGTGTGTATTTTATGTGTATTTAGTTTTGATATCTATACTTTTGTTTTTGTATTTAATTGTGCACTATGGTGGAAACAGCGCTATATAAGTGTTCTTATAATAATAATAATAAAAATACAAATGGCGAATGTAAATGGTAGTGATTCATTGAAAGATTTCACTGAAATGATTAACCAAACCATGGACATACTGTTGCAAGTTGTTCCTAGAGATGTTATACAGAGCCGAACAAACTTCATGATGATGACGGAAGGAATTATTTATGACCATTTATTGATGAAATAAACACGATTTCATGACCTTGACCTATGTGCTGTATATGTCGTGAGAAATGAAATGGGGTTTAACGTCCTACTGTTCTGCTCCGAACTGGGCTAATGAAGACAGGCATACGCCATACAGTGTGCTATGAGGGATATTTTGCCCGGACAGCGGTACTACGGCCTACTCTTATATCGAATTACAACTGTCAAGGGATCTTTTACGTGCACGCCAATGTGTTCACGGGACCTCGGTTTTTCGTCCCATCCGAACGGCTACACAGCTGTCCTTGTCAGGCCCTCCATCCTGCATAACTGACAAGGGAGAACCACGCCGGAAAATCTGGATGAACTTTTTTGTCCAATGCAGGGATCGAACACCCGACTTCCAGACTAGCGAGCCAGCGTCTTACCCACTTAGCCAACATGACCCCCCCATGTTGTGCGAAAAACTCCGTTGCGTGTGCTGTATATGATTTGACTGATACCCCATTAAGGGTGTCGCATTTATGTTTCACTGATACATCATAGGGTGTGCTGCATAGGTTTGAGTTATGCTCCATGGGGTGTGTTGTTGATGGATACTCCGTCGGATGTCTGATATTCAATGGGGTGTGTGGTTTATGTGTTAGACTGATTCTCCTGGGGGATATTATACAGGCTAATCGTCATATCACGAACTGTACTTACCGAATCCTGGTCACATTTTGTATGTTCTTGAGGAAATGTCGATTGACACACTCTCGCCGTATCGCCAGTACAATACATGACATAACATTTGGAAAATTCTTTCTGAAATAGGTAAAAGGTTATGAAATAACATGCGCCATGGCATTTCAGTTTTAATATTGTTGGGTAGACGTGATGATTTATTACATGTTATAGGTATCTTTATCAAGCAATGATCAATCCAAGCATTCATATAAAATAAATCACACAAACAAAAGCCATCACATCATCAACCAATTCTTTAAATAAGAAGTAATAAATCAATAATCACGTGACACGAACAGTCTCAACAAACGTTAAATAACGAAATACTAACGTTTTGAAAACGTTCGGAAAACTAAATTTTTGCACAGCGAATAATGAAAGCACATGCTATTTTTTAAAAAATAACAATTGAAAATCTAAATTTAAACGTATTTGAGATCCGATGATGCCGTGGTATGATTTTTTAAGGGTTGGGGGTTAGAGTTATAAGTCTTATATAGCGTACTCCATGGTAATATATCAAATGAATCGTTCTGTATTGGTAAAAATAATAGACTAAAGGGGTGTTGGTAACACACCTTCCCCCTCTTCCGGCTACGACAAATGACAGCATTGGTACTGTCATCAATCAAATAAGTCGTATTATTTAGTAACATCATTAAATAGCCCCCCTATACACCCTCAGCCGGCTACGACAAATGACAGCACTGGTACTGTCATCAATAAAATAAGTCGTATTATTTAGTAACATCATTAAATAGCCCCCCCCCCCCCCCGCGCCCACCCCAAACCCGTGCGCAAGAATTGTGACTGATAACGTAATTAGCCCCCCCCCCTCTCACACACAGACACAAACGCACTCCACGCAAAGAAACACGCACACACCAGCACATACTGTAATCGTCATAAAAAAGACAGTCCCATAGGGCTACCAACCTGACTGGGTAAATCACAAAATGAAGAATTCATTCCATAAGCTAGTTGACATTGTTCCTCAACTTCATAATACTCTCCACCTTTATATATTGTTGTTAATTCATCTTCTCTATCATCATTATATACACAGTCAGCTCTATAAACAGATAAACAGGGTCATTATATACACAGTCAGCTCTATAAATAGATAAACAGGGTCATTATAGACACAGTCAGCTCTATAAATAGATAAACAAATTATAAAAATAAACAAATTCGTTATATATAAAAAAATAAATAAAATAAAAATAAATTGAAGAGCGATGTAATTAATCCCTTCTTCAGTCAACCGTGTTGACAACAATGCTAATGATTTGGTAGACAATACTAAAAGTGGTTGATGAATATGATCGGAGCAGCATTGGCTCAGTGAATAATGCGCTGACTCGCTAACCAGGACAGCCAGAGTATGATCTAAGACATGCGTGGTGGTATGTCCTCGTAAATAGTGCAGTATCAATAGGCGTCCAAGATAGGGTCTAATGATGTATGTTTTGGGGATGTATGTTTTGGTCTTCGATATAATGATGGTTTAATAGTGTGTACAGGGAGGGGGGGGGCACCACACAAAATACAAACCTATGTACAGAACATATACACAGACATTACAAACGGCACACGTATATAACAGATTAAATGAATGGATACGAGGGACAGCCGCAAGTGTCAATTGCGTGTACAGTCCCTGGTCGGTAGTGATACATACTTCACTCAAAATGAAATTTTATTTACAAAAATAAACAACAGAGTATAATATCAGAATACTGGAACAAGACAAACATGAGGACAAAACAATTTACACAGATGACGCCATTATGAATAAGGGTGATAATCCGGATAGAATCTCGGAAAACGTTAAACAAAATAATAAAGTGTAAATATAATAATCACTGACTCGTCTAGTGCTTCTTTAAAGATGGCAACTGAACAATTAGAGAACTGCCATAAACGTAAAGCTTCCTCTGTGTTTTGAGCGACGGGAATGGAGGTGGTCATGATGTAACCATCTTCATCACTGCAACCAATCTGTCGGTCATGTTTAGACCCAATCCTGTAACAATAAACAATTCATTACAATATATTCTAGTCATTGCCGAGAGAACGTCATCCGGGGGATTGCTAACCCGTTGCAATCTATACTGTTTTTAAAAGTGCTAAAGCTCTAATATTATTCATAATATTCGAAATTAAAAACACGAATTATAATTCAATGTTGCTCCATTTCAATCTATATTGATATTGTTATATTATTGTGAACATGTGCAGGGGTCCTAATATCAACTATTTAAGACGTAATGCACATTTCAAATCCAGTACACGAGTCGTGTACTCTACGGATATAACAGTTTCGAGGGCATGGGCAGCGGGGCATATCCCAGAAGCCAATGCGGACGTTATTATAAATAGTTGATTGACAAATGACCAATTATTAATTTTAAAAAATCAATGTAGAATGAGCCAAGCTGGCGCAAACGACTGTCGTTCGCGTATGTCACCGAATATAATTGGTTAGAAATTACAGTACACATTTGAAAAAGGTCGCTTTATATACACCCATAATGTGACTTAGACCAATTTCGTCTATTTAATGGTTCAAATGAATAGAGCTATACGGCCTTTAAGGTTATATCTCTCGAAGGCTCAGTTCCGTCCAGTATTTACAAAGATACAACCATGATGAATTGAAAATGTCGCAGCATCGACATCCTGTACATACTTTAATAAATGGATGTGTTCCAGACGGAGGTAAACCAAAACGGGCGAAATCCACCTTCTTCAAAACGACCAACTAACACAGCCTATTTGGTAAGTCGAAATTTCAAGACACTAAGTCGAAATTCCAAGAGACTGTAACTTCAAGAGGTCAAGATGCTAAGTAATCTGCCTCTGTCTATTACCGTTTTAAACAATCTCGCGCCATCTTTAATTTAGCTGAACTCTGCGATATGGCGCTTTTTAATTCAATTGATTTCAAGTTTGGAGATTATCCTCCGTTGACATTGTGATTCAGTTACAAGCCAAGCCGGGGAAAATTTATCGAAAAATGTAATTGATACACAGTTTCTTTCTCTCGACCAAGTGAAAATACAGTTTCGAGAACTCCGTACGGGTGTTCGAAATGATTTAGTTCCTCTTTTAAGATACCTAATGTAAAATATAGATAAAGAGTCGGTCGTTCTGGCTATAATATTAAAAACAACAAGATAATGAAATAAAAATGTGTTGAAAATTTCATTCATATTTCTTTATTCTGGACGATGTTATGAGTGTTGGAACATGTAACGAATATTTGTTTAGTGTCTTCCACATTCAAAACACGAATTATTTGTCGGTTTAAATCAACATTGATGTTGTGATCTTGATGATGATGGGCTTCTGATATCCAATATAAAATAAATCATTTTACCATTTTGCGTTTCAGCGCCATTTGTAACAAGGGCTATACATATTCCACAAGTCATGCCAAACGGTGACATCATATTCTTATCTGGAGAGCAAGCATGCACAAAAAATACTACCAGTGTAGATTGAGATTTCTCGCGTATTTCGCCGAACATAACTGATTAGAAATTACCGTAAAAACGGAAACGATTGAATATAAATCAATTTATATACATTCATATTACATTATTATATGTGTTGCGACCCATTTGTGTCAATTTCTAGGTCCAAATACTAGCCATTTAGCTCCTTTAAATAGTTTAATAGTTGGTACACATGCATGTGTCGTTGCATCTATTATATGACTATATAACTTACCCATGTCCCCTGCCGTCTGTCAACACAACATCCGGAATTTAACTATACAACCCATGCCCTAACCCATGTGCTATAATAGCATATATCAATATATAACTTACGCATGCCCTAGCTCGTGTGCTATAATAGAACCCACTATACCATTTCGGCTGTTTTCATTGATAGATACTGAATTAGGTGTACACATAACTCTTAATCCAGCAAGACCTACAATAATATCAATATACTCGTTTTATTTATGTTGGGCATAAGTTATTTATCAATTTAGCCGAGGACGAACATGATGACACAGCGTTTAACGCGAACTATCTCTACAAAGCGGGGGAGGGGGGTAGTGGTCTACAATCTGCACCTTAGATCATAAGGTCTGTCATTGACTCGGGTGGCGTGGTTTCGATCACACATTTGTACGTGGCGAGGGTTATGATCGCATGTCCAACCTCCGGGACCTTTTCTTTCAACAAACTAACTATTAAGGCCCATAAGCGCCAGTCAAACACTAATACGATTCAGCAATATTTTATTCCCTAATTGACTTGGGATCCACGGTGGCTAAGTGAGTAGAACGCTGGATTGCTAGTTTGGAGGTCGCAGATTCGCTCTCGGTGTTGGTCGAGAAAGTACATAGGGACTTTCCGGGGTGGTGGCCCCTTGTCAGTGATGCAGGTCGGAGGGCCTGACAATGACAGCTGTCTAATCGTTCGGATGGGACGAAAAACCAAGGTGCCGTGTACACATTGGGGTGCAAGTAAAAGATCTCTTGGCAGTTGGAATTCGATATAAGAGTAGGCCGTAGCGCCGCTGTCCGGGCACAATTTTCCTCATAACCCACTGTATGGGGTATGCCCCTCTTTATCAGTCCAGTCGGAGCAGAACAGTAGGGTATTAAACCCCATTACATTCCATTGACCCAGTTGAAAAGTTGTGTCTAGGGGACGTTACACTCAATTTGTCTTTCTTATAAACTAGTCGGACAACTAGTACTTTAAGCGGACGTTAAATAAAGCTATTCACACACGCACACACCTACACACCTGGAATGTGACTTCTAACATTGAGCGGATTCATAACAAATTCAATATACTTACCGGCAAAAGATGTTTGATTGCCTCGAACCAGATCATATCTGTAACACAATAAATGTATATCTAAATATTTCGAACATACTTTTCTGCAATGAACGGACTTATGATGACGCACCTACGCCATACAGTATGCCATGAGGGAAATTTTGCGACGATATCCTTTTTGTGTTCTCCAATGAGTACACATGAGCCCCATTCTTCCTCCTATCCGAACGCCCAGACACTAGTCATGCCATCTGTCCTGCACCACGGGCATATCCCGAGCATCTTACTCACTGAGCCACCGCAGCTCCACGTTACAGTGTGATGATAGAAAACACCGGTAGATGTTATAAGCTGTACACTCGATTTGAGTGTCTGGGGTTCGATCCCTGAAGTCTTCCAAGATGAACATTCGACATAATGTAAGCTCCATTAGTCGAAGAAGAACAGTCGGGATTATCCAAGCTCTACTCCATTTGGTCAGGACTAGAACCTGGTGCGGAGCTTTCATACGAAGTAGATTGGTCGGTGGGATATTGGAAAAGCTCATCATTTGACACATGAAAGCGGCAATTAATTAAATATCCTTATCATATGAGATACAGAAAGCTTAATCTGGCATTATGTAACAGTCCAGTCGTGTAATTATTTTAAGATCTGACAGGGGCCAAAGGGTGTAAAGAAGAATCGGGAAGTTAGTTAAGATCAGAGCTGCGTCAAAATGGTTTAGTTGCGAAATGGCCTTGAGTCCAGACCAAAGGGCGGCCAAGTAGCACCAAGACCCTCTCAAGACAAGCTAACTTTAAGGAGTCGGTTAATTAGAAGGAGTTTTTGTACTGTATATGTCCACAAGAATAAATGTATTAAACCGGTGGTGTCATCAAGAACCCCAAGGGCCAATACTTACCCAGTAAAGAACATGTAATGGTCGCTAGTTGGTAGTGTAATGTTGGATGGTATGTCCGTTAACCAATCCCTACAAGCACCCAGGCCATCAGGACTCTCGACTTGAGTATCATTAGCTTTAGCCAATCCAACAGTAAAATTTGAATTCAGACGATCCTAATGAATAAAAAAACACAACATTTCACATCAAATATAATACGAACCTTTCATTGATTGTTTATAATAATCTAGCCTATAGCTGTTTTTGATCCAAAGTTCACAGGGATTTTTGTCCCTTTTCTCAGTGGTGCAGGGACAATGTGTATTCGTTCAGATGGGACAAAACACCCACGTATCGTATACACATTGGCGTGTGTTGATGGCGAAGTTTGTTTTTAGTTTTCTCTCTGTCTCGTGATGAGTTAGAAGACAGTACCTGAAAAGGGATAACGTATTGGCGTGCATGTAAAATATCCCCTGGCAATTGGAATTCGATATGTAGGCCGTAGCACCGCTATTCGGGCAATATTTCCCTAATAGCAAACTACGTGGCGTATGCCCGTCTTCATTAGCCCAGTCAATGCAGAACAGAACGTTAACCCCATTTCATTTCTTCAGTTTTACTTTACATTAAAGACATATAATTATATGTATTTAGGTCAGACTTAATTAGTAAATGAAATGCCTCACCTGGAGTAGAAATAAACCTGTTGCTTTTATCAATATATCAATACTACCATTAGTATCATACACACTGTGATATCTTAATCGTAGCTATAAATAATAATAATATACAGGCTGGTTAATCGTAGCTAAAAATAATAATTATATATATATAGGCTGGTCAATCGTAGCTATAAATAATAATTATATACAGGCTGGTTAATCGTAGCTATAAAAAATAATTATATACAGGCTGGTCAATCGTAACTATAAATAATAATTATGTATAGGCTGGTCAATCGTAACTATAAATAATAATTATATATAGGCTGGTCAATCGTAGCTATAAATAATAATAATGTACAGGCTGGTTAATCGTAGCTATAAGTAGTAATTATATATACGCTTGTCAGTCAGTTTTTTTTTTATTTATATTGACTCATTATGATGTATTAATTAAGCAAAAGGAAGTTTACCGAAATCGGAGTCCAAATAAGGACAGGGGTGGACAGATAGGAAGTCAGTACAAGCGAGTGCAAAACTGGCGACGTTATCGTTATAGCTCATAAGGTCATGACGTTACTGTGACGTCACAACGGCATATCAGACGTTGCATTTCTTCCGAAATCGGTTCATTTATATATATGCGTGTTAATAGCCGACTCGAATGCTGATGCAGAGAAGAATGTGTGTCCATTATGTTGGGTTGATCAATAAGAACAATGTGTTTAACAGTCTGTCGGCACAGTGAGAAACTTCAATTCCGGAACGCTCAATAGAGTATCCCCTTTATGCGTCTGGTCATCAGTAAGGTGACAATGAATTCAAATCCGATACTCGAGTATCCACCTTATGTATCTAACCATCTCTTAGGTGGCCATATTGCCGTTGTTTACACGTGTGAATCTAGGATATAATAATATTGATGTTTTACCTGTTCATTGACTAGAGCATAATAAACCGACATCTCGTCTATAGCTTGATTACTATCATTGTTATTCCTTTCTAAATAACTACAAAATATATCAAAAATTAATGAAATGCAGGATTACAAGTTTTATCTATTTTACTTTCAGTAACTAAGTGTGTTTATTTATATTGTATATATTTTATTTTCATTAACTAAGTGTGTTTATTTATATTGTATATATTATAGTTTATTTTCATTAACTAAGTATGTTTATTTATACTGTATATATTTTATTTTCATTAACTAGTGTGTTTATTTATACTCTATATATTATATTTTCATTAACTAAGTGTGTTTATTTATATTGTATATATTTTATTTTCATTAACTAAGTGTGTTTATTTATATTGTATATATTATAGTTTATTTTCATTAACTAAGTATGTTTATTTATACTGTATATATTTTATTTTCATTAACTAGTGTGTTTATTTATACTCTATATATTATATTTTCATTAACTAAGTGTGTTTATTTATAATCTATATATTATATTTTCATTAACTAAGTGTGTTTATTTATACTCTATATTTATACTCCATCCTGCAGTGCTATATGTGTACTTGTTATCTGAACTCGAGTAAACCGATGTACAAAGACGTGGATATGGTGGGTATTTGGGATCAAAACTTTGACGTCATGCTTTACAAAATTTAATATGAACTTACTATTCAAAATCTTTTGTATCACTGATAAAGCAAACTTCTATGATATATTTTCTAAATGTGGTGGATCTCTTTTTTCTTTTTCTGTCTGTAAAATATTATATTTCATGCAATGAAAGCAGAAGCCACATGGCAGACAGTAGTCTCGGGACAAAGGGTCACCAGAAAAGCGTGAAAGAGAGAGAAGTGTGGTTTAACGTCCACTCGACACAAACTAGGTCATTTCGGGACTAACATATGGTTCAATTTATTTCAATAATTCGCTAGCGCGTAGGGGTCTTTAGCAATCGGAGGACCCGGAGAAAATACAACCGGGGAATCGAAAGTTGACCGGGGAATCGCAAGTTGACTCAATGACAGACCTTATGATACAGCGCGCACACGCTAACCATTCAACCCCCGGACACCACAAAAGCATAATCTGCGCAACATATCTTTCATTCATTAGCGATATTAACAGAACCAGAATATCTTTGATCTTGAACGGGGTATTTCCCCATTGCATTGCCGGATCAATGTCACGTCAATTTCAATGGAATCGTCGAATATGAAAGGCCATGATGTGACAATTATTGTTAACGGCTGATATAATTAATATTGTAAAGTTGTAAAAGGGTCATAGATTCTGTTCTTTCAACAAAATCACTAATTTAAGACATCCATGACTAATTTACTATATTTTTTAAGCGTCCAGATCCATTTTAGACTTCTCAGTCAGCCTTTATTCAACGCCCTTCATAGTTAGTCAGTGTTTTGGTCGACTGGGTTGATCGATTGGTTTAACGCGTGAGCTTTACAGTATAAGGACTGTTATTGAGTCAAGAGGCGTGGTTTTGTTTCCATGCTTGTATGTGACAAGGAGTACGACGCCTATCCAACCCTTGTTAGTCTCGAAATCACCTAATCGGTGTCGAGTGGACGTTAAAGACTGCAAAAGCACAGTCAATCATGACACACAGAGTACACTGGTGGATAGGCTCCCTTATGAGTTTTTTTTTTATTTTAAATTTTTCTCCTGTCACTGCACGCATGGGATTATACATCCCCGTGTAGACTTACAACCGACCTTCCAATCTATTCACTTGTGTTAAAGATCTGGGATCCAAATATGCTCATATGTTAACACTTTGCCCTCTAGCCAAAATAAAAACATACAGAGGGGCGCGCAAACATATTTTCCCAGGGGCAGGTGTGGGTGTGGGGCGGGGATGAGTTGGGGTGGAGGTACCATCAAGACATCGACCAAGTCGGCATAAGAAAATGAATTATTACCCCCTGTTAGATCAAAAAGTAGTCAATAATTATTATGTAATCTTTAAATGACTCAGTTGAACATTAATGTGTATTATTGGCCCCATTTTGTTCTGATTTGAATGTGTAAGGAACACTGGCAAACCGGCCCATTTTCCATAAACCGGTTGAATATTTCTTTTGTATTATTGGCCTCATTTTGTTCTGATTTGAATGTGTAAGGAACTCCGGCCAACCCGCCCATATTCCGTATCCGCCAACCAGGCAAAAAAAAGAACAAAAACGGCCCATTTGTCTATTTGGACTAAGCTCAGGGAGGTGCCGCATCCCCCCCCCCCCCGTCCCAAAAATCCCTATTGTGCGCCCCTGATCATATCGAGTCCAAGCTACGTAGTCAGCTGAGACATGGATTTATGCGAAATGAGTTAATATTGAAATATGCCTACCATTATAATCTCCACCATGATCGATCATCAACTCCTCATAATGTATCACATGTTGAACCGTCTGACCAGAATCTCCGCCATCTTCTTCTACAGGTTTAATATAAACCATTCTTTCTTCTAACTCAAAATTACCTGACTTTTAAATCAACAGAGAGATCTCACAAATACGTTCGATTCAAATTAACAGTTAAAAAGCTCAATTTTGAAACCATATTATTATGTTTGTGCATTCTGTAACACTTGTCCTTAAGACAATTTTGGTTCTTTGCAAAATTGTTACTTCACTGTGTCTTTATAGTCAAATCACACATACTTAATGAACGTGAATGATATATTTATACATAAAAAACAGTGATATTTTGGTTAAATCATAATCATTGTCCAAATATCCATCAAATTCTGTCTGTTAATTGACATATGGTTGGTAGACCAAATAATGTCTCCTCCATTAGCTGTGTGAAATAAAGAGGTTTATTCCATATATGGGATGGAAATTAACGTCAAGGTTATAGAAGACCTGCAGAAATTAGGGGGTATAAATTAGGGGGTATAAATTAGGGTGTAGAGGGAGTTGGATCAGAGCTCATTCAGAAATCCCAAGCAGCCATTATTATTGAGAACGAGGAATCTTCAAAACCATTACAGCTTAGAAATAAAGTTGTAAAACCATTGATGTTGTAGTCTTGTTACGATCACAAAGAAACAAACACAACAATAGAAGAGGTCCGATTGTACTACAATTCAACAACACTTCCGGAGAATGTTGAATAAGCAGTTCCCTGAATCCTACAAACTGTTCTGGGGCGATACACGAGAAACTCAATAAATAACGACAAATAACTGTAAAATAATATATACTCTAATATCAAATGTTGAACATATATTTATATATATATATATATATATACACTTGTCTTTCATGGATGTTTGAAACATTCCGTGACTTTGGGATACATTAAATCTTACAAGTGTTATGATATGTTATACAATATTAACATGAAACACCAATCTGATTTAAATACAGATCTATATTTCGTTTCGTTTTTTATACTTTCGACGACCTACACTACATAAAGATCAGAAGATCGTACGAGCGGCGTTTGACCATATGACGTCAGACATTAATCAATCAATCAGCGTTGACGTTCTAGTGGTTTACCTACAGTTACGTGCATGGCACGCCAAGAGCCCACCGTAACAGATGGTTTCATTGGCTAATACCTCACTCCATCCAGAACGCAGGTTATGTAACAACTGAAATAGGATCTGTGTTTTAATCAGATTGCATGAACTACAGGAATACGTCCAGTTTCCATAAAATATAGTTTACGAAATCAAGAGATTATCGATGCCAATGATTCATAATTTCCGACTATAACATACAATACTGTGAGAAGACACAGAAGCACAGCAACAGCATGAAGTAAACGATGAGACACAGAGAAAAACAAATGTTGTCATTATGAAACTTCCCCACGAAATTAATTTGCATGAAATTAAATTTGAACACTTCAGATGAATATTTTAACAACCAGCCAATGTTGCTTTTCAACCCCATTGGATTTCTATGTTCCAATATACATACCAATTTATAAATAATATTGTCTTCTAAATCAAAACGTCTCTCCACCATTATTGACGCTTTTCTACTCAAATCTGTGTAAACTGCTCGATTCTAAAATTAATTATTAAAAATATAAATTCCATACCCTATTTCACATGACATCGAATCAGGGTAATGGTTAGGGTTTTCGTTTAGACAAATGTGATAGGCATATTCTGATGTGCCATTTTATACAAGTATTGTACTTAGAAAGTATGAAAGCCAAACCCACAACCAATACAATCCCTGCATTGACCGAGAAAGTTCATCCAGATATTCCAGCGTGATTTCCCCTTGTCAGTGATGCAGGACGGAGGGCCTGACAAGGACAGCTGTCTAGTCGTTCGGATGGGACGAAAAACCGAGGTCCCGTGTATACATTGGCATGCACGTAAAAGATCCCTTGGCAGTCGGAATTCGATATAAGAGTAGACTGTAATGCCGCTGCCCGGGCAAAATTTCCCTTATAGCACACTGCATGGCGTATGCCCGTCTTCATTAGCCCAGTTTAGGAGCAGAACAGTAGGACGTTAAACCCCGTTTCATTTCATTTCATTTAAAGCAACCAAACATCGCTGTTCACAGCGAGAGAGTCATGTAAACAAGCTACTTAGTGTATCTCCCACCTACAGTCAGTCAGTCAGTCTTGTCCAGATTCTGATAATCAATAAACTCAAGCCACTTACAGTACGCCCATCCCCATCCCACACCCACACACTGCTAGAACATAATATGACCACAACCATGTGCCCCATCCCACATTATGGGAGATTAGATAAAGAGCTGGCCGTTTTCACTATAATAGTTAAAACCCAGATAATGTATGGGCAATTTGCTGAAAATTTCAGTCTAATTGATCCACTCTGAACCGAGAATTTAGTGATTAAATTTTTGGTCTAGCCTCGATCATCATTACTAAAGTCGGTCCTATAAAAAACATAAGTCTCGATTATCCATTTTTTTTATTTAATTATCAATGAGCGTCAAGAAGCAGATATGATTCTAATCCAGAAAATATCAAGGCTAGCGTTACCATCGAGAGTTGATTATGGTCTGGATAAGTTAATTAATGTCTAATTAATAATTTAGATAACATTTCAGGCCTAAGGAAAGATCTGCAACTGGCAGATTTAGCTCTTGCATAATGTATGTTTAAGTCTGAGAATATTGAACTTTGGGCCAGATGTTGTAAAAGCTGTTGAAAGAATTAAACTGAATAATATATATTATATTACCCTTGTGGTTCCAAATATTTCGTCTGTCACACCATTAGAAATAGAAAATGTAGGTAATCTGTCTATTTGTGTTAAACGTAATACACCCCTATCTGACTCTGTCTCCACTTCAAAAACCAGATTAACTAGCATTGATTCCACATCTCGCTTAACTCTTCCACCATCTACATCCATGTCATATATTGGTATATTTCTAATATCTATCGATCGATCTGTAATATATCATATATTGGTATATTTCTAATATTTATCGATCGATCTGTAATATGTCATATATTGGAATATATCGATCGATCTGTAATATATCATATATTGGTATATATCTAATATCTATCGATCGATCTGTAATATATTATATATTGGTATATTTCTAATATCTATTGATCGATCTGTAATATATCATATATTGGTATATTTCTAATATCTATTGTTCGATCTTTAATATATTATATATTGGTATATTTCTAATATCTATTGATCTGTAATAATTATATTGGTATATTTCGAATATCTATTGTTCGATCTGTAATTGCTACAGGCTATGACAGAAATTTCTATAAATGGAAAAACTCATCATAAGTGTTTACAGAGCTACATCTTCCTGCTTTAGGTTTTATTTGTGATCTAGATCACTGATAGCCGCTCCAAGACAAAATGTGATGAATGACAACTTTACATTAGAAGTGATCAATTCTGTTTGTAACGCTGATGTGTTTGACACGAGTATTCATATAAATATCTATTGTGCTTTTATATATAAATAGCCGATTTTAATAATTTCATTGAACTACCTTCAAAGGAATGAATATGTTGATGTCATCGGACATTTCAATATTTATGACCTTCTCACTTTTGATCAATTTTTAATTTTGTTATAAAATTCTTTTTTTGTTCTTTTCTTATAAATAGTGCACACAATTGATTTCCTTGATAGGACTGCGTGCTGTGTGATAAGGTCTGTCATTGAGTCAAATGGCGTGGTTTCGAATCCCCGGCTATGCGCGACAAGGAGTAGGGTCGCCTGTCCAACCTCGTGGGTTTTCTCCTTGTCCTCCAGTTTCCTCCCATTGCTAAAGACCCCTACGCGCGCGTGAATAATAGAAATAAAATTGAACAATATGTTAGTCCCGAAATGACCTAGTTTTGTTTAGTGGACGTTAAACCCCATTTCTCTCTCTCTCTCTCTCTTTCTCTCTCTCTCTCTCTCTCTCTCTCTCTCTCTTTCCCTTTTTTCACATACACAGCAGATTTGTTTATGATATATTTCATAATATGTACAGAGAAGATATGTTTAATATATTTCATATTCTTAAAATCGAAATAAAATATTATTTAAATAAAAAAAAAATATATATTGAATACATACCTGCTACAGTGAAAGACAATCCCAACAACAAGAATAATATGACGACCATCATTTATGTTTTTACAATTAAACCAGTGGTGAGGGATGGGTGGGGGTTACTTCTAATTACACCGAGGGTGAGGTGTTGGCGGGGTTACTACTAATTACCCCGGGGAGAGGGGGATGGGCTACTTCTAATTGAAATGTTTTATATTTTGGTTAGGATAAGTGTATTATTACATTGATATTAAATGATATCCTCCAGTTACTGTAATTTATATAGTTTCCTCAGGGATAATCTTCAACAATCCCATGACTATTCTTATAATATATTCCTCAAAAACTAGTAATTCAATGATAATCATTAACTATCACATATTTCTTACAAATTCTATCATCCTATATTCCATACACAATATTTATAGATATTAGATGATAATTGTCAACTATCACATAAATATTGTTATCCAATATTCCTCACACGTAATCTACAGAATTATAGACTTCAATCATCGCATAAACACACTCAAGCCGTAATAGTTATTAACGACCCGTCTTGCACTATCACATAAACACAATCATATCATATCCCTCACGAGTTAATATTAGGCATTAAAGTTTCGTTATCAAACGTCATATAAATAATCCGATACACTATTCCCACGAGTGGTTATTTTCTATAGTGTTTATATTCTACCTATCCTATATACTTGTGTCAAAGTTTAATCGGCACTTAAATAAAACACCTTTGTTAGTCAGGTGTGGTGAATGGCAATACAGTACATGTATTACACGAGCCAATTGGCTTGCATAAAGTAAATAGGGGCGTACTAATACTACCCGTGTGTGTTTACGTCTTTCGAGTGCAGTTATTAATCTTATTATAAACTTGATTGGTTGAATGAGGACATTTTTGGTAATGGGATAACGGTACATTGTATTTGATGCACAGTGACATGTGACAGATCACAAGAGTAGGTTGTTGCGCTGCTGTCATAACACACTGTATGAATTAGGCTAGCTACGAGAACGAAACTAAAAACGCTGAGATATACTGATGTGCTTGTTTTTAGCTACGATTGGATGCCTTTAGTTCCAAGCAAGTGGCAAACTCAATTTCTTTATTAATGTAGGTACCATCTTAAGAATAAGTTAATTTTATACTATTAGTACCTATTACACATACACAGCCAAATCTACTGAAACAACATTCATTTATCAGCAAATATTGACAATGAAGTAAATCAAGCGTTGTTTTTATCAAAATTGATTCGGACGTTCATAATTACGGCGTATTACTACTGCGCAACACTGATCAAATTAGTACTTTGATTGGCTATTGCACACGAGACCCCCGCCTTTATGTGTTACAAACGTAAATTTAAAATGTCGGAAAAAGCAATCTACTGTCGCTTTGATTTTAAAAGAGGGGTTTTGTAGCCGTTTCAGGTAGGATTATCTGCTTAATTGTAGTTGGGTGTGGCAGGGAGGGTTGAGAGATAAGGTTTGTTATCTAGAATTAGGCCTGTATTCATACAGCAAGGTATGACGTTAAACCCCATGGAGATAACGCAGAAAAGTTGTCCTATTTTATTATGTTTAGCAAACACACAGGGGTCATTCCTATGGGAGGAAACTTGAGTACCTGGAGTAAACCACATACGCTTGAAACGACGATCGCAGGCTAGTGGAGACTGGTCAGGGATAGCCCAGGGCCATTAGACCATTCAAACCCCCGTCCCATCCCCCATCCCATCCCCCATCCCAGTTGTGTAGCAGAGTACAAAACCTCTTATACACCATGTTCCTGAATCAACGACTGCGAGTTTCACAACATCTGGCCGTTACTTGTTTACTTCACAATTCCCGAAATTAGTGCCGCAATATACAGGGTATTACGTAAAGGCCTTGATGAGATGTAGATAGTTAAAGCGAGATCAAGCCTTCTATTGAAGATGCGTATACTCCTGCTGTTACGTTTGTACTGAGATACCCGTATTATAAAGTACATAAGAAAGTTCAATGTTCTCGGTCTGTTCGGTCACCTCACCCACCAAGATATCCATATACCCCCCCCCCCCCACACCGTCATACCGTCATGATCACATTAATAAAGACCGTCCCCCACCCTCCGTCATACCGTCATGATCACATTAATAAAGACCGTCCCCCACCCTCCGACATACCGTCATGATAACATTAATAAAGACCGTCCCCCACCCACCGTCATACCGTCATGATCACATTAATAAAGACCGTCCCCCACCCTCCGACATACCGTCATGATAACATTAATAAAGACCGTCCCCCACCCTCCGTCATACCGTCATGATCACATTAATAAAGACCGTCCCCCACCCTCCGACATACCGTCATGATAACATTAATAAAGACCGTCCCCCACCCACCGTCATACCGTCATGATCACATTAATAAAGACCGTCCCCCACCCTCCGACATACCGTCATGATCACATTATATAATAAAGACCGTCCCCCACCCTCCGACATACCGTAATGATAAGATTAATAAAGACCGCCCCCACCCTCCGACATACCATCATAATAACATTAATAAAGTCATGACATTAATAAAGGCCGTAAAGTACACAAGACGGTTCAATGTTCTCTGTCAGATCGGTCAACATGACATAACTCTATTGGGTGTTAAATAATCCTTTAATAAAAGATATGTTTACAATGATCTAGTGATTGTTGATTTCCATTCAAATCAATTCTACATACACACTAGGGGATATTAAAGTTAATATCATATCGTGATTAATGTTCTTGTGACATAATATCTAGGGGACATTAAACTTCATATAGAGGACTACACCTCACACAAATGAATATACAAGACAAACCTACGGAGAGAGAGAGAGACAGAGAGACAGAGAGAGAGAGAGAGAGAGACAGACAGACAGAGACAGAGAGACATAGAGTCATTTCGGGACTAGCATATGGTACAAATTTATTTCTATAATTTGATTGAGAAAATGGGGTTTAACGCCCACTCGACACGGACAAGGTCATTTCGGGACTAACGTATGGTTCCATACGAGCGCATTTAGCCGTGGGGTGTAACCGGAGGACCCGAAGAAATCCCACGGGCTTGTCACGTACAACCCGGGAATCGAAACCACGCCAGTTGACTCAATGATGGAAATTGGGATACAACGCACACGCGATAACCATTCGGCCAGGTAAATCTGTCTATTTCAGGTCTTTCTTTAGGCCTTGAATGTTATATAAATTATTAATTAGACATGAGTTAATCCTCAAAGCATTTTTAGTCTACGATATTTACTGGATTTGATAGATAATTTTAATGTAAATATGGATAATTGAGACTTTGTTTATTATCGTACCGACGTTAGTAATGGAAATCGAGGCTAGCCCAAAATTGATCGCTAATATCTTGGTTCAGGGTGAAGTAATTTCACTGAAATTTTCAGCATATTCGGTTAACATTATCTATTTTTAACTATTATAACGAAAACTGTCAGCTCCTTATCTAATTCTACCTAATTCCCCTTTGAGAGAGAGAGAGAGAGAGAGAGAGAGAGAGATGGGTTAACGTCCACTCGAGGATTCGAAGCCACGTCACATGACTCAATGATGACAAAGCTTATGATCAAACGCGTTAACCATTCGCCCCCACCCCCTCACCTTTGAGAGCATGTCGTTCTTACTATAGCTTACGTGTTTAAACTGGATTAAGAAAATGAAATGAAATGAAATGGGGTTTAACATCCTACGGTTCTGTTCTAACTGGATTAATGAAGACGGGCATACGCCATACAGTGTGCGATGGGGGAAATTTATGAGGCATATAGATGGTGAAATATGAATATATTGTCAATTGCAGTCAAAGTATCGATTATCTATTTTATAGTTAAAACTTTGAAATGATCTTGTATATTCACTCATTTTATGATGGGTTAGTTGTATTTTACGTCCGCTTCCACCGAGGTGATATCGCAGACAAACTCATTTTATGTTACTCATAAGTATTTTAAGTGCGTGTGGTTGGGCGGATGGTGCTACAGGCCAAGATATATTTATAAACTATAAAAATCCTTTCTACAGTCTAAATGACGTGAGACATTAGCCCTCAGTGTGTTGTGCCAGTGTCGGTCGATGTCATAAGACCGTTTATATATAGATCCATCGAGTTTGTTTGCCATGATCCACAAATAATATTGTGTAATACAGCGTTAACTTTGTATTCAGAGTTAAAGTTATAACCGCAGGGTTTGCAAGGAAAACCTGTTATTTAAAAATATCTCCTGACTAATTCTGTCGGTTAAAGGGTGGAATACGCTTCTCCGTGAATATTTAATGTCTTAGAGTTAATTGCGCGGATCCGGAGCGGGTGTGGTGCGTGTGCGTGGGTTGGGTGGGGGTGAGGGGGGGTGCTAGAGTTCAGGATCAGCTAAATTGGCAACCAAGGGCGAGAAACAGTCATAAAGGGCATCTGACAATTTTAGTGCCTCCCCCCCCCCCCCCAACTCCATGTCGAAACTATCGATTAATTTATAATTATAGTCTGTTCTTGACTAAACTTGTGAGATTTTTATTTTAATTAACATGGCGTTTTACATTGTCTACCTAGGCCTATATATATGTGTGTGATATCCCTATTAGTAAGTGCAGGGGGGCTGCACCACACAAAATTTCCACAAAAAAAATACATGGACGTGGTAGAATTGGACGTTTAATACATGTTTCACATTCACACATAGGGATGGATGGTGTTGAACTTCGTGTTTCAACTCTTCAAATGGCTACTGTCTTAATTCTTCGAAAATGCATTTAAGATTGATGGGAGAGGGGTTTAATATAGACTATGCCTGTTCCCCAATCCCTATTCAGATACAAATTTGAATAAAAATATTGCTTATAAAAGAAAGAAAAAAAAAGTTTGACGGGCTTTCACTATTGACAAGATTAAGAATTGAAAGGTGTAATGTTTCAGGGACAATTTGGATTACAATAGTCAGGATTTCAATTAAACATACATTATGACGTCACATTAATAATGATGTCATTGTAATATTCATATTAAACATACATTATACAAGAGCTAAATCTGCCTATTGCAGGTCTTTCTTAAGGCCTGAAATGTTATCTAAATTATTAATTAGACATTAATTAACCTATCCAGACCATAATCAACTCTAGAAGGCATCGCTAGCCTGCGATCGATCTTAAGTGGATTAAGAGTCGATTTTCTGCATAGCTTTTCTTCACGATTTAACGATTAAATGGATAATCGAGACTATGCTGTTTATCGTACTGACTTTAGTAATGATGATCGATACTAGGCGGAAATTTCAAACGCTTAGCTCTCGGTTCATAGTGTATCAATTTGAATGAAATTTTCAGCAAATTGCCTTTACATTATCTAGTTTTTAACTATTATAGTGAGAACTGCCAACCCGTTATCGAATCTCCCATAATGTATCTCCCATAAGAACATTAATCACGATATGATATTAACTTTAATATCCCCTAGTGTGTATGTAGAATTGATTTGAATGGAAATCAACAATCACTAGATCATTGTAAACATATCTTTTATTAAAGGATTATTTAACACCCAATAGAGTTATGTCATGTTGACCGATCTGACAGAGAACATTGAACCGTCTTGTGTA